CTTGCTGTACAGTATTCTCCTGATGGTTCTTTGCTTGCTACAGGAGCTGAGGATGGCAAGGTATGTTCGTCTTACCATGTGACCATACTTGCAGTGTCAGTTCGCTGAGTATATATTCTTTTTGGGTGAAAATCTGGAATGGACGAACAGCTTTCTGTACCGTGACTTTTGACGAGCACACTTCTGCTGTCACGGGAGTGTGCTGGACACAAAGTGGCAAAGCTATCCTGAGTGCTTCATTGGATGGAACTGTTAGGGCACATGATCTCAAAAGGTAAAAGTTTAATGCAAATTATGTTTGAAATTTTGTACAATCTCTCTTCAGATATCGTAATTTCCGTACACTTGTATGTCCTGAGCCAACCCAGCTGGGAAGTTTGGCAGTAGATCAGGCAGGCGATATAGTGGTAGCAGCTGCTAAGGAGATATTCAACGTAAGCTTTGTTTGATATACAGTATGTAAATCGCCACATTCATGTTATTTCCAGGACAATTTTTTGGGAACTGTTTTGTCATTTGATCATGATTTTAATTCATCAATTCTCTGTTTTTAGATTTTTATTTGGAGTATGGAAAATGGCTCTTTGCTTGATGTTCTCAGTGGGCATGAGTCTAATGTTGCCAGTATAAGCCTATATGGAAACACCTTAGCTAGCATATCATGGGATAGAACTTTGAAGTGAGTTGAACGAAAATCTATTCTTCTTGGTTATCATTTTTTGTTTACTTTTTATTTTTTAAATTTTTCGTATTCATCACTCATCCTTTAGAATATGGAATATCGTTGATTCTACATGTGAGACAACCGAACTTGCTCAGGAAGGTCTTGCTGTCGCCTTTTCTCCATGTGGACAGTTAATAGCTGCATTGACTGTAGATTCGAATGTCACAATATACCATGCAAAAGATGTATGTGCAAGCAAGCATTTGTGCAAGCATTATTTTCCAGTCGTTACCGTTTTATTGCTAACACTTTTTACTTCTCGTTATTTGACTTTAGATGGCTTTTGTTGGCACAATAGACGCAAGATTCGACTTAGATCCTGGACGAGGTCAAGCCGATACTATAACCCGACAGAATGCCTCGCAGAATAAGTCAGTCGATTTGTCTTTTTAACTCTTTCAGCACTGACCGCTGTCATTTGAATTTAGATCATTTACTTGTATGCAGTTTTCACCGGATAGTGCGCTGTTGTTGTTGGGCGGTGACTCCAACAATTTCTGTTTGTACTCAGTTCCAGATAGGATGCTGATGAAGAAATTTACGATTACGGCGAACCGTAGTTTGGATGGTGTCGTGGTAGGCACTTTTCTTAGTTTCACAGTATTCTCATTTTTTCATCTGAGCTAGCTTCCTTTGTCATGCGATTCATACCGAATCATTGCGATATTTTTTTGGAATATATGTTCTTTGTTCTAGTTAGACGTGAACCGGCGAAACTTTACGGAATTCGGAAATATGGCTCTTGTTGATGACTCGGATTCGGAAACCGAACCAGATGGCAAAAGGGCCATCAAGTTGCCCGGATCAAAGCATTTCGACCTTGGAGAAAGAAGTGCTCGCCCTCAAATAGCCGTCTATGCTTTAGCATATTGTCCAACAGGTTAGTGGTGTAGCAAATTAGATTTTGCGTCTCTTCTCGTGGAAAACTACGAAGTTTTTATTGAGTATTTCTTTTAGGTCGCCGATTTGCTGTCTGCAGTACAGAAGGTGTTGGAGTATATTCACTAGACACTGTAGGAATATTTGATCCGTTCCAGTTGGATAGCCAGACTACTCCAGATATGGTGAAAAAGTAAGATTTTGCGGCGGTCATGTTTACTTCTTCGAATTATCTCATGTGTTATTTTTTAGCGCTATCTCCATGTGCGACTTTTCGACGGCGC